CAAACTGAATAATTTATGAAAAAAAAATAAGAAATTTGCATCTCACAGTTCTGGAGGCTAGGAAGTCCATAGCATGAAGCCTGCTTTTGGGAAGGGTCATCACATGGTGGAATGCAAAAGGCAGAAGTGAACACACAAGACAGGGAGCAGGAGAGGGCAGTTCATATAACAAACCCACTCTCACCATAATCGACCTTCTCCAGTGATAACGAGTAAGCCATTCATCAGTGCGGAGCCCCCAGGACCTAATCACCACTTAAGGACTCCACCTCTTAACACTGTCACAATGGCAATTAAGTTTGTGAGACTCCTTTTTTTTTTTTGGAGAGATTTTTGCTATAGGGTGTGTGTGTGTTCTGTGGAGAGACAGAGACAGAGACAGACAGAAAGTAAAAAGTCACCCCCCAGGGGGGATGACCACAGTGCAATCCTTCCTTGTCCACTCTCCTCTCAGGATTTTGGTCATGCACGCACATGCACATGGCATGAGTTTTAAACCTCCAGGTCCAGGACTTGAACCATGGCTGACTACGTGGAAGTCTAGCAAAATAAAAGTTATGCCATCTGCTGGCTTCAGGTACTCCATTTTCATGTGTCACATGGCTGTGGGCTCTCAACTCAGAAAGCCTGAGACGATGCAGTTTGATTTGGTAGTTATCCTGGACAGGAAGTTGATTTCCATTCATTTATTTTTTAAGTTACATTTTACCCCATTTATATTCCCAAATAAATTTGAGATGTCTACATGTCGTACTTTTATTTATTTAATTAATTTAGAGAGAGAAGGTATCCAAGAAGGAGGAGAGAGAAAGAGGTACCCTCGATAGGGTGTTCGTGCTATGATCCACCCCTCACCACAAACTGAATAATTTATGAAAAAAAAAAAAGAAATTTCCATCTCACAGTTCTGGAGGCTAGGAAGTCCATAGCATGGAGCCTGCTTTTGGGAAGGGTCATCACATGGCTTAGCTGGCCTGGATCACAGGCATGTGGGCACCTGCTGTGCTCCTGGAGGTCCTGGGTCTTGAACCCTGGACCTTTCCCATGTGGGTCCAGCTGCATAATGCTGTGCCACTGCCTGGTCCTACCTGGTAGTTGTTCTAACACACGTGCATCGAATCACTGCTGTGTGCTGTCACTGTGCTGGAGCTGGGAAGGTCTCTCAAAGACACAGCTATTTTTTATTCTAATTTCAGCATGGCAGACTTCATCTCAAATGAAAGAACATCTCTTGGTGAGTCAGAATTTGTTTTCATCCTCTTGTTTTCAAGGGATGGTCTTTAAACCTGCAACCAATTCTGGAACATGTTTATGGCATCTAATAAATAAAGTCAAACACAGTAGACATTTATTGATTTTTGAATTGATGTATTTTGTTGTAGAAATACTAAAAAAAGAAAGCTTTCACTTCTGTATATGAGGATATTAAAATAGTGGTTTTGAGTTGGTTACTACTTGTCAATGGTAGCAGGAAGGATACAATGAACCATTTTGCAAGTTTATTTGAAAACACGCCATGTTTAGTAATCTAACTTCTAGCAAAGGGGGAGATATGATTAAGACTAGATTGATTCAAATTGCAGCGTTAGTGTACGTGACCTAATTCTTCTAACTTGAAAGAGTTAAAATGGGTCCTAAGGCAGTGTCTGGCAAGTGGCGTTCTTCTAGATGGTCTTGTTCCCCTCGTGCCGTCAATGCCTCAGCGAGATCAAAATGCCAAAGACAAAGATGCATCATGGTCTGGCAACTTGCCAATTAGCTGATGGACCATTTTAATTTGTTTTCTAAGTTATTAACCATGACAGCAATTTAAAAGATTTCTGATACAGAATTGTAAAGAATGCTGACAAGTAAATATCTACTGTTTGTTGATCAAGATTTAATAACCTGAACAGGAGACTTCTGTTACTGTCATTGCTGGGATAAGACAGGCGTTACTTGAAACTTGTCGTTGGCACCGTTTTCAAGTGTCCAGCTCTGGCGTTAGGTATATTCAGCATCGTGGTGCAGCCTACACCACCACACATCCACAGGAATCTCCTGGGAGTATTAATGGTTCTATTTGTGTGTGTGTGTGTGTGTGTGTGTGTGTGAGAGAGAGAGAGAGAGAGAGAGAGAGAGAGATAGAGAGAGAGAGAGAAGAAAATGGAGAGAGGACGTTGGAAAGAAAGAGAGATTGGTATTTTTTCTGGGGTCTTGCCATGGTCCACTAGGGCCACAGGACCTTGCCACCACACCTAGCTGACGTTTTTGGATGGGCCAGCAGCTGAACCCTGACCTCCCACGAGGCCTCAGTCATGGTACAGTGAAGCTGCTGCTTGGCCACTGCGGCCGGGCCTGAGCTTCTTGTTCTTGCTGGCTATCGTGAGGTGCGGTGTCCTAGCTAGCCGGGACGTTCCGTTATGGAAAGGTGGCCACTACTTTCTCAGGTTTGCTGAGAGACGGTGCAGCTCACAGTGCTCATCTTAGAGGGCTCCTGGCTCCCCGTCTTCAGGAGTCCTTTCTCCTCCCACACTCCCTGATCTCAGTGGGGCTCCCTGTCCAGGTCAGTTCTTGCTCCTCCTGCTTCAGGGAGCTCCCCCAGCGCTCCTCCCTGGAGAGAAAGGCAGAGGTGACTGTTTGCCGGCTGTCCTGGAGGCCAAAGTCACATGGGGACCAGGCCAGAGAGAGCTGGTTTCAGTCCATCTGTACGCCGCAGCTTTGGGGCCGGAGAAGAAGTTCTGGCCAGTGGCACCTGGCTTCTGGTTTGTGAGATGTTAGAGGGAAGGACGTAAGAGAACTATTCCATTATGACTGGCAAATAAATACCAGTGGCCTGTCCTAGGAACGCAGCCAGTGAGGTGACCAGCACCCATTCGCTCCTACTCGGGAGCCCTGGTGATGCCAGTTGCTAGAGGGATCTTAGCGGTATGGCCGGGTGGACGCCATGTCCGTGGCTCTGTACACAAAGGAAGACTGCGGCCGGCGGGGGTGGTGGTGACCTAGTTATTCCTTCCTGTGTGTTCACTTCGTTCTACTTTGCTCAGTACTGTTTTTTAAAAGCCCACTCAGAATAGCAGCGTGCTTAAACATTGCAAGTCCCTGTCAGCATGTACACAGGACACGTTTGGCGATGCACAACCTGCTTAGTTACCTGGCGTGGCACACTTCGCTACTAGCCACTTGTGTGGAGTACTCCCATGTGCTAGTTCAGTTAGGCTCTGCATTTTTTTTCTTTTTTTAAAATTTTTGCCAGTGGTTGTGTGTGTTCACAAGAGAGAGACAGAAACAGAGGGGGAGGGAAAATGAAAAAGCGCCCACTGTGGGGGATGGTCACGCTGGAATCTTTTCTCCGTTTTTCTCTTTGGGATTTTGGGGATGCACACACATGTGCCCAGTGTTTTTCAAGTCCTGGGTCCAGGACTTGAACCATGCAGTTGGCCATGTGGGTTATAGCTGCTTTAACCAACAGGCCACAGGCTGGTCCGGGCCTGAATTTTTAAACCCTTCCCTGCCAGCCAGGGATGGATTGAGAGCCCCATGCCATGGTTTTCAGCAGTTGTTCTCTCAGCCTTCATAATCTTTTAGCTGACTCAGAGCATTCGGGTTAAAACTGGTGACCTAAGAGTCTCAGGAAGGCAGTGGGTGACTGTCACTGTGCCCTTGGACATGTTTCAAGGGATGGGCTTTCTGCTTTCCTATGACCGAGGAAGACAGGAGTTGGGACTGTAGATTGGGGTGGCCACTGTCAGTACGATCTTAAAGGTTATTCCTGGAAAGTCTCCTGTCTGGTGGGTTCCACTAGCCCCTTCTCTGAGGTCTCCCCCTCTGCACAGCGGGGATGGCAGGTGGCATCAGCACCCTGTCCCTGCTCATGTCCTGGTTTCTGCTGAGAGCTGAAGGTGCCGGGGAAAAGAAATACCCCCTCCCCCCCGGAAAGGAGGCTGGGAACTTCTTTATGTGATGCGGGCCAGCTCTTCCTCTGACTGCTGTGGACAGTCTTCTCTGTGTGGTCAGTCTTGAGAGCAAGGAAGGAAGAGCATTCGTGTCACATTCGTGGTGTGCGTTCCATGTCTTCTGCAGCAGATTCTGCCTGGGTGTATTAGTTAGGGTGGTCCAGAAAAACAGAGCCAAATGAATATGTGTGTGTGTTTGTGTGCATGTGTGTGTACATATGTGTGTGTGTGTGTGTGTGCGCGCAGATATGTAGACACGGTAGATGTCCATATAGATAGAGACGTAAGAAGGGACTTACTGGGGAAATCAGCTCAGGGAGTTATGGCAGCTGAAAGTCCTACCACGGGCCGTCTCCAAGGTGGAGATCGTGGGATTCTTGTCGCGTGGTTCAGGCCAAGTCCAAAGGCCTTAGAGGCAGGGAAGCTGATAATGTAACTCATGGGTTCTCAGGCCAAAGGCTGGTTTGAATCCCAGAGCCTGAAGCAAGTGAGCCTCAGGTTTTGATGTCCACGCAGTGGAAGTCTACCCTATTCTCCCGAAAGAGCTCTGTCATCTCCTGCGTTTACTTCTTCAGACCCTTTGTCTAGGCATCCCAGGGATGGTCCCTGCCCACACCGAGGGTGGGTCTTCATCACTCAGTCTGCTCAGACTCAAGTGTTAATCTTTTCTGGAAACGCCCTCCTGGACACACCCGGAATAATGCCTTTTAGGTTTCTTGGTATCCCTGAGTCCAGGCAACTCGACACTCACCACTGACCCTCCCACTGAGCCAGGCAGTTAAGGAGAAAAGCAGTGTTAGGATAGAACGACGTGGACTTAAGCCTGTCGTTTTACACTGACCAGGCCCTAGATTCTCCAAGTTGGAAGGAGTCTGCACCTGGTCTAGCCAGCGTTCTGATGTGGGCAGGCTATCTACTGCATTCCGGTCTGTGTCTGAATGCTCCTGGGGACAGTGGCTCACTGCTTCCGGGAGCGGACGGTTCTCAATCTGGATGGCTCAGTTCAGAAGGGTTCCATACATTTTCTATGACTTCCATCATTGCCCTAAATTCTGCCTCTTACAGGAAGAACAGACACTGAATGGGAAGAGCTCACAGTTCACTTGTGAACGCTGTCTGCAAATATGCACGCAGTCATGCAACAAGAAAGCAAACCAGCAAATGGAAAAATACTCATCAGAGCGACCTGAGCGTCCTTCCTACCTCCCGAGCTTAACAGATTCAAAGACTTCCGTTACTCATTCGTTTTCAAAAGACCTTGCTTTCCTTTTTCTGCAACAGTGATATTTTTCAGTGCATGCTCCGTATCTGGTAGGTCGTATTTTACCAGTTTATACTGTTATGGACATGCCCACGGGTATATTTGTAAGAGGAAGTAAGAGGAGATTTGTGTTAATTGCCTTGGGGGAATAAGTCAGCTTGAAAAAGAGAGGGAACAGTTACAATTTTTTCCCTTGGTAAACTCATTAGTGCCATATCTGTCGCCTTAGAAATCAACCTGCTTGCTTGAAGGACAATTTTATTTTAATTCCCTTTTCTTTCACTTTCTCAAAAGGTTCAGGCAATAGGTTGGTGAGCTAAGCCTTTTGGGGTGGTGGAAAGGGTTACTTTTTCCCCCCACAGTGCAGTAATACACACCTAAAACATTCCAGAATTTTGGGTAGAAATTGTAAGAAGGTATTAAAACTTGAGAAATGAATTAACAAGCCACCTTTTTATGCGGTAGCAACGCGCCTCTGCTTTGAATGAATAGCACTTTATTCCACAGCTGTGTCAGTGGTGGGCTGACAGGCTGAGGGAGCCCTGGCCTCTGAATCAATGAGGGTGTGTGTGCGCATGCACCCGGATCAGGACAAGTCTGCACAAACAAGATTAGAGGTCCCACCCGAGCTCACGGAACCCTGAAACCTAATGGTGTAGAATGAGTTGAAGCATTTCTTCACGTTTCTCAAGCAGATCATTCTTACTATAACATTCATAATCCTCCCTACACAAAGAACACTTGATATTTTCACCTCTTTATTTACTTTTTATTTTTAGGGCTGGCCTGTAGATGCGTTAACTTTTTCCAGATCAAATAGCTGAGCTATGACTGTAAAAAAGAGAGTTTTTTTTTGCAATGGTGTAGAATTTGTAACAGTGCCTTCTTTGCGCCAGTCATGATTATGTTTCACGTAAATGAATCCTCTTCATCCTCACAGCCATCCTCTGAGAAAGGTACTACCACCAGCTTCATTTTGTTGAGGAAACTGAGGCGTTGAATGGCTGAATAACTCACCCAGGCCTGGCTGCTAGCAAATTCTGGAGCCCAGATGTGGACTGACCTTCTGACTCCAGATCGTGGACTGTTAATCACTGCATGATCCTGCCCCTCGGAGCACACTAGCAGAACTGTGATCTAGTCAAGGTGTAGGAAAAAGGGCAAGCAGATTTTTATGGGTGACCAGCAGTCCCCACCACGTGTGTAAATAACCAGAATGTGATTATCCTGATAAAAATAACCGTTCATTACTATACTAAGTCTGGCAAGTAAAGAACATATTTAAAAAAGAGAAACAAGTCACTCCTAATCCCCCTGCAGTGATTTTTTAAGACTGTGTATTACCCACTCCTTCCCATAAACCCTTTAATTTCATTAGGGAGAATTGTATTTCTTCCCCAGAAAGTAGTCTGGTGTGGATGAAAAGCTAGTGCTAGGGCCAGTCAGTGGCATGGTGGTTGGGGAGGCTGGATCCCACATGGCTGACTGCATGGTGGCTTGCAAACCATGCTGGGTACATGTGCATGCATGGCCAGAATCCCAAGAGGAGAATGGAGGAGAAGGATTGCAGTGTGGCCATCTGCTCTGGGAAGTGCTTTCTCAGTCTCTCCCAGTCTCTCTTCAGTAAGCCTATGCTCCTTCTAGAAAATTAGAAAAAAGAAAAGCAAGTGCCTTGTGGTGGGGGTGTGTGTGACCCAAGTTGGGTACATAGAATGTTCTTTCCCT